TGGAAAAACAGTCATACCAATCTTCTGTGATGTGGATCCTTCAGATGTTCGGAACCAGAGGAAGATCTTTGCAGAAGCCTTTGCCAAACACGAATCGAATTATAAGGATGATGTTGAGGGGATGCAGATGGTGAACGGATGGAAGATTGCCTTAACTGCTGCCGCAAATCTAAAAGGATATGATGTCTGTGATGGGTGAGTTAAAAACACATAATTACTTTTAATGAAAAAAGAAAACGAATAATTTCTATTCAAATTTGGATGCTTTTGTGAATCCTAGATATATTCTACTATAGAGCAAAGAATCTATACCTCCAAAAGGTGAATTAATTAACAGAATCAACACTTAATTAATTTGTCATATTTACCAAATTTAAAAGGTGGAAATTAGATCAACATATTTTTGAGCTAAGAATACTGAATGCACTGTCTTATTTCATTGATTATCATTTAGACATAAGAAATGTATTTATATTTTTTTCCGGTAAAGAGAATGATGGTAGATTATATATGTTTATATCAGTAAGAAAGCATAGTCCTATCAATTTAATTAGAGAGAACACCTAAAAATCCTCCTAAACAATTCGAGTTTTGCAACTTTCATACTTTACTAATAGAGTAATCGTATTTATTTTCCACTATCAATCTTTTTATTTATGTAGGATAGAATCAGAGAATATTCAGAAAATTGTCGACCACATCTCTTCCAGATTATGCAAGAGTGCTTATTCTTTATCGTCTTTGCAAGATGTTGTGGGAATAGATGCTCATTTAGAGAAACTAAAATCCCAACTTCAGATAGAAATCAATGATGTTCGGATTGTAGGGATCTGGGGAATAGGTGGAGTCGATAAAACAACAATAGCAAAATCCATCCTTGATACTCTATCTTATCAATTTGAAGCTGCTTGTTTTCTTGCAGATGTTAAAGAAAATGCAAAAAATAATCAACTGCATACCTTACAAAATGCCCTTCTCTCTGAACTTTTAAGAAAAAAAGATGATTACGTCAATAATAAATATGATGGGAAGTGCATGATTCCGAGCAGACTTTGCTCTAAGAAGGTGCTGATTGTGCTTGATGACATAGATCATAGTGATCACTTGGAGTATTTAGCGGGTAATCTTGGCTGGTTTGGTAATGGCAGTAGAGTTATTGTAACAACTAGAAATAGACATTTGATAGAGAAGGATGATGCAATATATGAAGTGCCTACACTACCTGATCATGAAGCTATGCTATTGTTCAATCAACATGCTTTCAAAAAAGAAGTTCCAGATGAGCATTTTAAAAAGTTCTCGTTGGAGGTAGAAAATCATGCTAAAGGCCTTCCGTTAGCCCTCAAGGTGTGGGGTTCTTTGTTGCATAAGAAAGGCCTAACTCAGTGGAGAAGAACTGTAAACCAAATAAAGAAAAACTTGTAGTTCAGAAATTGTTAAAAAGCTCAAAATAAGTTATGACGGGTTGGAGTCTGAAGAGCAAAAGATATTTCTAGATATGGCATGTTTCTTCCGAGGAATTGAAAAAGAAAGTCATAAAAATCCTTGAGAGCTGTGATTTTGGAGCTGAATACGGATTGGATGTCCTGATTGACAAATCACTCGTGTTCATCTCTAAATATGGTACGATTCAAATGCATGACTTGATACAAGATATGGGTAAATATATTGTGAAAATGCAAAAGGATCTGGGTGAATGTAGCAGACTATGGGATGCCGAAGATTTTGAAGAAGTGATGGTCAACAATATGGTATGTAGCTAAACAATGCAATAATATTCAATTTCTTGTTTATATATTCCAAAAAAACATATAGGTTCGATTCCAATCATTTATTTCTCTTGCTTCCCATTCTCATATGTGAGTCATTTTAATAGTTTTTGTGGAAGATGCAAAGTAATAATTATTGTCTAACACAACTAATTCATCAAGGAGCCAGTTTGATTAATGTTGCCTAATTCATTTTCTTAAGTTATTAAGCTATGAAGTAGTCTAGTATCACTTAAACTGTTTAATCCAATTTCATTTTTTGGATAACATGAAATTTGTATGACATTTTATACATAATAAGTTATTTTACAGGGTACCAAGGTAATCGAAGCAATCTGGTTTAGTTATTGTCAACAATTATGCTTTAGCAAAGAGGCCATGAATAATATGAAAATGCTTAGGATATTGTACATATGTTGGGACAAGAAATGGTTCCAAGATCGCTTTACTTCCCATGATGGCTCTGTTGAGTACCTGCCCAATAACTTGCGTTGGGTTTTCTGGAATTACTATCCTTGGGAGTCATTGCCAGAAAATTTTGAACCCAAAAGACTTGTTCATCTTGAACTTTTTCAAAGTGAACTACATTATTTATGGAAGGGAACAAAGGTACAATAGTTAAATTCTTGTTTATTTTAATTATTCTCATATCTATTAGAGTGAATGGTGACAAATGCAAGAAGTGTCTAGTTTTTGCGACTTTCATATCTAAACTATCAGGTGTGCGAGTTTCCTACCTGAACAATCACCAAACGTTTATCAAAAAACATCCTAATTCAAATGGCGTTACTCACTTTTTGTGTAAGGGAGTAAATTAAACACAATGGTCATTTGATACATAGATAGCCCAGTAGCCAAATCTAAATCACGAGCAGCACCCTAATTCTCATGCTTTTTGTGTTTTGATTAGCAGCATTTGTCTTCTCTAAGGACGCTAGATCTCAGCTGCTCTAGAAGCCTAATGCGAACACCAGATTTCACGGGGATGCCAAATATGGAGTATTTGCTTCTGTGGAACTGTAGTAATCTTAAAGAGGTTCACCATTCCCTGGGATGCTGTAGAAAAATCATTTGGTTAAATTTGAGTGATTGTGAAAGCCTTAATACGTTTCCATGTGTTAACGTGGAATCTAAGGGGTTCCTCTAGTTTAGAGAAATTTCCAGAAATCCTTGGAAGCATGAAGCCGGACTTAAAGGTTAAGATGAGAAACTCCGGGATTAAGGAATTACCATCATCTATAATTCAGCACCACGCTCGTCATACAGTGCTACATTTGAGTGACATGAATAAATTACTTGTAGCTCTTCCAAGAAATATTTGTAAGTTGAAAGGTTTGGTGAAGCTAACTGCTCAAAACTTAAAAGCTTTCCAGAAGAGATAGGTGATCTAGAAAACATGGTGGAGCTTGATACCACATTCACTCTAATTTCACAACCTCCGTCTTCCATCGTCCGTTTGAACAAGCTTAATATCTTGAATTTTCAGAAACAAAAATCAGAAGTAGGCCTCAATGATGGAGTGTTCTTTGTGTTCCCTCAGGTGAATGAAGGGTTACACTCATTGGAATATTTGGATCTCAGTTACTGCAATTTAATAGACGGAGGACTTCCGAAAGACATTGGATGCTTATCCTCTTTGAAAGAGTTGTATCTCAGTGGAAATAATTTTGAGCACTTGCCTCGAAGCATAGCCCAACTTGGAGCTCTTCAATCCTTGGACGTATCAGATTGCAAGAGGCTTACACATCTGCCAGAACTTCCACCAAAATTAGATACAATTGGAGCAATGATTCAATCTGTAATTCGTTGTTTCAGAATATCTCATCATTGCAGCATCACATCGCTGCTTCAGATTCCTTGTCACTACGAGTGTTTACCACCAAGGGGAAGAATATCCCAAGTTGGTTCCACCATCGAGGAACTGGTAGAAGCGTATCAGTCAGTTTGCCTGAAAATTGGTATGTACGTACGTGATAGCTTCTTGGGATTTGCTGTATGTTACTCTGGCAGCTTAATTGACACCAAAGCATACTTGATCCCCTCATGTAATCGGATGTCATGTATGACACAGAAACTTTCCGCATCCAGCTATTCAAAATGTGTTCTAGAACCTATGATTCATTTTTTCTTGGTACCTCTTGCTGGCTTATGGGATACATATAAAGCAAATGGAAAAACACCAAATGACTATGGGATTATTAGCTTATTTTTTGAAGAAATGAAGGAGTTTGGATTTCGTTTGTTGTATAAAGATGAGCCTGGGCTTGTGGCCTTGAATCGATATGATAATAGTGAACGCCATGACTTCGTGACTAATGAAGCCAGCTGTTCCTCTTCAGAAACTTTGCAGCTCTTTCCCACAAGTCCAGGATTTTAGCTTAAATATAGGTATTCTATGACATCTTGCGACTTTCATCATATCTTAGTGCTCCATTTGTATTCATTTACTATGCAAGCCATTATTCTGCTTTTTTAAAAACCAAGTATCAGATATTGTCTTTGTTGTATGGTTTTCATGTCGAAAGATGTATGGTGTTAAGATTGTAATTCAAGTATTAATTATATTTGTTCCCCTGATCATGTCATCCTGCTGATGAAGATTCATTTGTACTTCTTCTCATTAAGTCCAGAGAAGAAAAGGCAAATGTTTGTTAGTCCCAAAGTAGCCGCTGATCCATGGCTACAAAACTTACTAATAGTTCCATTTTGTATGCTCTTTAATTGTTACATTTGGAGGTATCCCTGTCTTAACTTTTAAAAATAAAAATATCTCTCTTGTTATGGTAGGGATCGGAGTTGGACGTGGAGGAGGCTGGAGTACAAGGCGAAGTTCGTGAAGGTGGAAAATGAGTAACAAAGTTTTTGTGTCAATTTGCCTCTTACATCAGATAATAGCAGAAGTCCTACATTATTATACCAAATGTTACTTACAAGTCCTTTCCTCTGAAAACTGTTTGCACTAATTCATGGTTAGATGTGATGTGATCGTTTCAAATTAGGAATGTGCTATCGTTTTTATCTGCTGCTACTTTTTGTAGAAATTGATCTTGATAAGGTAATACTAACATCTATATCTTGATTACTTATTATAAGTGGTTCCAATCTTTTGGATTTGGATTATTTTTGCAATGCATAATGTAGATACATTATTTGAGAACAAAATTACATATGGTACTTCCCCTGTTTGTAGCTAGATTCTTGTGGTGAGAAAGAGATTCGCGAAAGAACTTTGGGTGGGATCTCTCATCTTTGTAGAGGTGACGGGACAGCTCTTTTAGACCTGAATACCTAGTTTCATTTTGAAATATCCCACCTTATCTCGCATACCAAATGACCCATAGTATTTTGAAGTCAACTCGTCTGCTTTAGGTGACGAAGAAAGCCATTATTAAGATATCTTACAATTTCAAAGATATCTTAAGTAGAAGGCCATCTAATCACTTTCCATTTGTCCCAAGAAAAATAGGACCCATAGTGCTGCTTTAATGCTTTTGGTGGGTCAGCTACCCATATAATTGATGTGGGACTTGTCTCATTCGTATCATCATTTTTATTTCTTACTTATCACAACCCCATCTATCCACACGGTTTTTCTTCTTCTCAAATTTCCACGAATTAACTAAATCCATGACATCATCTTCTTCTTATAATTATGCGAGTAATTCATTGTACGGATCTGGATGGAAGTATGATGTCTTTCTAAGTTTGAAAAGTGAAGATACTTGGAGAACATTTACAGGTCATTTGTATCAACAATTGAAAAACAAGGGAACATTATTAACCTTTCAAGATGATATGCCGCTAGAGGATGGTGATTCCATCCCAGAAGAACTCTTGAAAACTATCAAAGAGTCTCAATTTATCCTCGTCGTTTTCTCAAAGAGTTATGCTACATCAAGATGGTGCTTGGATGTACTAGAGAAGATCATGGAATCCAAGGATGAATACGGACAAACTGTCATACCGATATTCTATGATGTGGATCCATCAGAAATTCGAAAGCAAAGGGAGAGCTTTGCTGAAGCATTTGACAAATACGAATCAAATTATAAGGATGATGTTGAGGGAATGCAGAAGGTGCAAAGATGGAGGACTGCCCTAACTGAAGCAGCCAATCTCAGAGGATATGATATCCGCCAATGGTGAGCCAAAAAAAAAAAATATGCAATAATTTATTATGTGTACTCTATACGGTAGAAATACTTAATTTATCATCAATCTTCTTTCTTATTTTTCTTTTTGTAGGACTCGATCAAACTGTATTCAGCATATTGTTGATCAAATTTCATCCAAATTATGCAAGACTTAAATTCCACCATTTTTGGTAAGAAATGTTATGAAAAAACATGAAATTGGGGAATATTTGTATTGTCGCATGACGAATAAAAGTGATAGTTCTGTCCTTGTATATGTTTGAGCTTATAATCCAAGTCCAATTGAAAAAGAAGGATAATTTAGTTCTGCTTCAGCAATTTTTGATGAGCAATTCACTTTTCTCAATACAAACATATAAGCTGCTTTGTTTGGGTATTTTAAACCACATAAATAATGAACATTATCCTCGGGTTTGATGTCATAGATTAAGCCTGGATCACCTGTTCTTAACGGATTGACATGTCCTGCACCAGTGGCGAACAAGTCACTCTTTTCATCAAGATCAGCAGTCGTCATGATTGCTGATTTGATAGCAGCTGGAGACCAGTCAGGGTTTGTACATTTTACTAATGTTGCAATTCCAGATACATGAGGGCAAGACATTGACGTGCCAGACGCGATGTTAAAAGTAGACTTAGTTGGCCAAGCAGCAAGAATATTAACACCTTCAAGATTCCAGGACTTGCCCTGTTTGGTCCTCTGCCTGAAAAGCTCGCAACTTCTCGAGCAAAATCATCTTCAAATATGGTTCCTCTGAATAAAAATGTGGCGAGAGGATTTGATGTTGAATTTGTTGGGAATAAACCCGCAAAAGAAATAATATTTGCGGTAATATAAGCAATCAAAGCGGAACACAACAATGCGGTTAATCAACAAGAATAAAAAGAGCAATAATGACACCAAGATTTTACGTGGAAACCCTCCTGTTTTTGGTGCATTTTGAGAATGAAGAAGACTCTCCTTTTTATAGATAACAAGTGCAGTATTTTTCCAACTATGCTACAGAAGAAAAACATTTTTTTCTTCTTTGCAGCTTACCAACTTTTGAAAAAATCTGCACATGTATATTCAATACCTTCCAAATCTGCCAACCTTTAGACATTGTGAGATTTGGCAAATGGGGATGGACCCCCACAATCTCCCCCCTCCAAACCCATTCACCTGAAAGGGGTAGCTCTAAGTTTCTAGCTTGAGTGCATGCTGACAAGTTCTTTGCATAGCTCGAACTTGTCTCTTGATACCACCTTGGTCAGCATATCCGAAGGGTTTTCACTAGTAGGGATCTTCATGACATGCATAGATCCATCCTCTATCTTTTCACGAATCCAGTGATATCTCACGTCAATATGCTTCGTCCTTGCATGATACATGTGTTCTTGCTCAAGTCTATTGCACTTTGACTGTCACAATAGACGACATACTCTTTCTGATGCAATCCAAGTTCCTGAAGAAATCGTTTCAGCCATACCATCTCTTTGCCAGCTTCAGTAGCTGCAATATACTATGCCTTCGTTGTAGAGAGTGCAACACACTTCAGCAACTTTGACTGCCATGATATAGCTCCCCCTGAAAATGTAAACAAATATCTAGTAGTGGATTTTCTGTTATCGAGGTCACCTGTCATATCAGCATCTGTATAGCCCTTCAACATTGGATCAGACCCTTCAAAACACAAGTAGTCTCTTGTGGTACCTCTTAGGTACCTAAGTATCCACTTAACTGCCTCACAGTGATCTTTTTCAGGATTTTCAAGGAATCTGCTAACAACATCAACTGCATGAGCAATATCAGGTCTTGTACACACCATTGCATACATCAAACTCCCTACTGCTGAAGAATAAGGAACTTTGATCATTCCCTCTTTCTCCTCTTTTGTTGTAGGACACATCTGTTTGCTCAACTTCAGATGACTCGCAAGAGGCGTGCTAACAGGTTTAGCACTCTTCATGTTGAAGTGTTCTAGCACACGTTCAATGTACTTCTCTTGAGATAGCCACAACTTTCTTTTTGTTCGTTCTCGAACAATTTTCATCCCTAGAATTTGTTGTGCCGGGCCCAAGTCCTTCATGTCAAATGACTTGGACAAATCCCTCTTCAACCTTGCAATCAAATCTTTGTCTTGTCCTACAATTAACATGTCATCCACTTACAACAACAAAATAATAAAATTGTTGTCAGAAAATCTTTTAAAGTATACACATGGATCATAATATGTCTTTGTGTACGTTTGACTTTTCATGAAAGAGTCAAAAATTTTGTATCATTGCCTTGGTGCCTGTTTCAACCCATAAAGACTCTTATTCAATTTGCACACCATGTGTTTCTTTCCAGATACTTCAAATCCCTCAGGTTGCTCCATATAAATCTCCTCTTCCAAATCTCCGTGAAGAAATGCAGTTTTCACGTCCAATTGCTCCACTTCAAGATCTAGGCTGGCGCTAGGCTCAAAATAGTTCGAATAGAAGTCATTTTGACAACAGGTGAAAAGATTTCATCAAAATCAATACCTTTCTTTTGTTCGAAGCCTTTTACAACCAATCGAGCTTTATACCTGACCAACTTGCCATTTCCATCTTTCTTGAGTTTAAAGACCTACTTGCATTTAAGCAGTCTTTTACCTTTTGGAAGTTCAACTAGCTGGTATGTGTCATTTTTCTGTAGAGATTCCATCTCTTCTTGCATGGCTTTCATCCATTGGCTCTTTTCTGGATGAGTCAACATCTCTTTAAGACTTTCTGGCTCCCCATCATTGATGAGGACATACTCTGAGGAAGGGTACTTGGATGACTCTACCCTTTGTCTTTCTGATCTCCTCAGAGGTTGAGATTGTTCTTCTTCTTCCGGGTACTCCACTTGCTCGGTATTATCACCAAGTTGCTCCCCCTGCTCAACAATCTCATTAGGTTGCTCTTCATGTTCAACAACTTCATCGATCGTACTTTCTGCACTTATGGGACGGTTAGAAGTAGAAGGAATGGTAACAAGATTAAGGACTATACCATTTTTTTCCTTGGACATCTCAGATAGAGCATCGGCAGTTCCAACTTCACTTTCTCGGAAGATTACATCTCTGCTTCTGATGACCTTCTTCTTTACAGGATCCCACAACCTGTACCCGAATTCTTCATCTCCATATCCGATGAATATGCAGGGAACTGATTTATCATCTAGCTTGGTTCTCTGCTCCTTCGGTACATAAAAACTTTGCAACCGAACACCTTTAGGTGCGAGTAAGACATCTCCTTGTTGGTCCAAACTCTCTCCGGAATGTCAAACTCCAACGGAACTGATGGACTACGATTGATAAGATTACATGATGTCCGAACTGCTTCACCCCAGAATGACTTAGGTAATTTAGCCATTTTGAGCATGATTCTCACCTTCTCAACAATGGTGCGATTCATTCTCTCAGCTACACCATTGTGTTGTGGGGTTCCAGTAACTGTCTTTTCATGTCTGATTCCATGGTTTGAATAGTACTCTTCAAATTCTCTTGAAGTGTACTCACCTCCATTGTCAGTTTGGAGACGTTTTAGCTTCTGACCCGTCTCTCTTTCTACCAAAGCATGAAACTTTTGAAATACTTGAAACACCTGATCTTTGGTTTTCAAGATATAAACCCACAATTTTCGTGTAGCATCATCAATAAAGGTAACAAAGTATTTATTACCTCCCATCGATTCTATCTCCATTGGACCACAGACATCAGAATATACCAAATCAAGTATATTCAACTTTCTTTCAGATGATGTTTGAAATGAGACTCTATGTTGCTTACCAAATAACCAGTAGTTACAAGGTTTTATCATTGTACCTTTGGCAAAAGAGATGAGTGATTTTTTGGAAAGAATTTGCAATCCTTTCTCGCTTATATGACCCATTTTTCTATGCCACAAATCTGCAGAAATCTCTTCGTGAGCCGCATTCAATTCACCTTGGCATATTTCTGCATTTGTCCTGTACAACGTGCCACGAGCAACTCCTTTTGCAATCACCAATGCCCCCTTTGGTGAGTCTCCATTTTTTATTTGCAAAGTAGTTCTCATATCCATCTCGATCCAAAGCAACTCCCGAGATCAAGTTCATCCGCAAATCAGGTACGTGACGCACATTTTTCAAAACTAATGTGCATTCGACATTTGTCTTTATGCAAACGTCTCCGATCCCCACAATCTTTGAGTAACTTGTGTTACCCATTTTCACATTGCCAAAATCACCTGCTACATATCTGCAAAAAACATCTCTTACTGGTGTGGCATGGTCAGATGCTGCTGTGTCGACCACCCATTCCGACTCTACACCTGCCAAGTGCATGCATTCCTCTTCCTCATTTATGAGGAGAACAACATTGTCATTATTTTGCACCATGGCAGCTGTGTTGTCATCATTCTTCTGGCCGCTGCTTTCTCCTTTGCTTCCTTTTAGATTCGAACAATCTCTTTTGAAGTGACCTAGTTGTTCGCAATTGTAGTAATTTCTGGCCTTTGATTTTGATTAGACCTTAAACTTTCCACGAGCTCCGGATCTACCATAGTTGCTTGAACTCCTTTGGTAAATTCTGCCTCTACTTTATGTGATGAGAGCCTGTCCGTGATTTTCAGGCTTTTTTCTCATCTTCTCATTAAGCAGAAGGGCTGATGTGACATCTTTCAACTCAATAGAGTCCTTACCATGTAAGATGGTTGTTGCCAAATTATCATAAGAAGATGGCAACGAGTTTAGGAGCACTATGACTTTATCTTCCTCCTCGATCTTTACTCCGAGGTTTCCTAGTTGCGTGATTAGTCCATTAAGCACATTTAAATGGGACAAAAAAATTGTACCTTCACCCATTTATAGGGCGTATAACTGCTTCTTTAGGTACAATTTATTTGTTAGCGTTTTGGACATGTATAGATTTTCTAACTTTGTCCAAATGCCACATGCACTCTTCATCGATGATGTTATTAACCACATTATCTGTTAAGTGCAACCTTGTTGCACTAGCAGCCTTTTCATCCATTTCTTCCCAATTCCCAAGTTTCATGGATTCGGGCTTTTTGGATTTGCCGCCTAGTGCCTTATGCAAACCCTGTTGGATGAGCAAGTCTCTCATCCTTCTCTGCCATGTTGAGAAACCGCTATCACCGTTGAATTTTGCTACCTCGTACTTTAGTCTAGACATTTATTTTTTCACTGAGTATAGTACGATAAGCTGCAAAAATATTTCTGTAAATGAGCAGAACATGTGCTCTGATACCAATTGTTGGGAATAAACCCGCAACAGAAATAATATTTGCGGTAATAAAAATAATAAAAGCGG